ATGCTACCACTCAAAATGATTATGCAGGGATTCCATTTTGCAAAATTTTGTGAATGCTGTTTGGTCATTATGTAATCAAAACCTTGTCTAGAAGCATCATTAAACCCATAAACACTGAGTCTGTGCCATGGTAAGTAGCTACGACTGTTGTAGTAGCACAACAGTATGCTATAACAGAATAACAGAGTTGGAAGAGACCTTGGAGGTCTTCCAGTCCAGCTCCCTGCTCAGGCAGGAAACCCTATACCATTTCAAATAAATGGTTGTCAACTTCTGGAAGAAAATTGTTCTATTGATTAACTGCTCTCACAATTTCTCCTTTGTTCTAGGTTGCTTCTCTCCTTGATTAGTTTCCATCCATTGCTTCTTGTCCTGCTTTCAGGTGCTTTGGAGAATAGGTTGACTCCCTCTTCTTTGTGGCAATCCCATAGATATTGGAACACTGCTATCATGTCACCTAGTCCTTCTTTTCATCACACTAGACATACCCAATTCCAGCAACCATTTTTTATACCTTTAGCCTCCAGTCCCCTAATCATCCTTGTTGCTCTTCTCAGCACTCTTTCTAGAGTCTCAACATCTTTTTTACATCGTGGCGACCAAAACTGGATGCAGTATTTCAAGTGTTTGTCTTACCAATGCATTATAAAGTGATATCAACACTTCACGTGATCTTGAGTCTCTGTTAATGCAGCCTAGGATTGCGTTGACTTTTTTGGGAGCTGCAGCACATTGCTGGCTCATATTAAAATGATTGTCCACTAGAACTCCAAGGTCCCTCAATAACTATGGTACACTGACAAAGACTGTATTATGCTAGTCCACTTCAGCAGAAAATGGAAAGCTATAATTTAACCATATTTGGAGGGTGTTGGGGTTTTCTCTAGATCTGGCTGCAAAAATGTGAACAAGCTGGCTACAAAGGAGTTTTCTGTACAGGTAATCCTTGACTTACAACCATTTATTTAGGGACTGTTCAAAATTACAGCGGCATTGAAAAAATGACTTATGACCATTTTTCACACTTGTGACCATTGCAACATCCCCATAGTCACGTGATCAAAATGCAGATGCTTGGCAACTGGCTCATAATTATGGTGGTTGTAGTGATTTTGTGATTTTGTGACAAGCAAAGTCAACGAGGAAGCCAAATTCATTTTATAACTGTCTTACTAACTTAACAACTGCAGTGATTGACTTAACAACTTCGGCAAAGAAAGATGTAAAATGGGGCAAAACTCATTTAACAATTGTCTTGCTTAGCGATGGAAATTTTGGGCTGGGCTGTGATCATAAGTTGAGGACTGCCTGTATGTTTGCCACTCAGACTAGGGAGCACTACCTATTCTTCAGCTGAATGACAGGTCATTCATATGGTAAGGACCTGATCCAATAATGTTAATATTTCTCAGTTACTATCATAGGAATGTTCATGTTTCAAATATGATTTGGAGGAAGTGATCCAACCTTATGTGAAATAAAACATCTTTCTTCTATTTGTCAAGGAAGCCCAACTTTTTTTTTTCCAGATGCTTTAAATCATTGCAACTGGTTCAAGGGCAGGGTACTTTGGAGAGCTTCCAAAAAATCTGGAATCCTCTGCTTGGAGCATTTTATCGCAGATCTGTGACCATTTGCAGCCATTCCTTTCAGGCAATTAGGAAGAAACACAACAAAGGTTAATCCTTTGGCAGAACTCTTTGCTTCGGAGCTTGAGAAAAAACGGTTTTTAAAGGGTTTTTGGACAGAACAAAATGCAGTAGAACTGGTAGAGCTTGTCCCATCCCGATAGGATAGCCAGAAGATGGCAGCATAAGGGAGCTTTTGAATGCCTGGCAATGCTGATGCATGGAGGTCTAAGAAAATAAATTAAAACCAACCTGCTCAGGAGCCATCCCTGCAGCCCATCAATCACGGATCAAGCTTCTTTTCCATTCCATGTGATTGGGTGAAATGATGTCATTCCTCACCAGATGCAGATGCACTTCTGGTATAAATTAAGGGACTGGGTGACAGCACAGGGTGCGTGTGAATGTGTTGCAGTTTGCACCTCCCTCCTTCCGCTTGTGTGCATTAGCAAAACTCACAATTACTGAATCATTAGAATAACAGAAATATTAAAAGAACAAAGAAGACTGGGTCAGTCAGGCGCAGGACTAATTATTGGATTGGTAATGGATATTAATGTGTCTCCAACAATGAGCTGCTCCTTGTTTTAGACCTTAGTTCTATTGGCATGAAAATAATCAACTTGTTCTTTGTTCCAAAACCCTGCTTGATACCTACATCTACAATTTACCTCTGATAGAGTAGAGGGAGGAAATGGAAGCAATGAAAGCTATTTCATCGACCCTGCTGGGAAACCCCATAGCTTCCTGAAGTGTTATCAAGTAAAAGCTGTGTTTTTCAGACTTATTTACCCACATTTATTGGTTTTTTTTAAAATAAATAACTCAAGGTGGCGAACATACCTAATATTCCTTCCTCCTCCTATTTTCCCCATAACAACAACTCTGTGAGGTGGGTTGGACTGAGAGAAAGTGACTGGTCCAAATCACCCAGCAGGGTTTCATGCCTAAGGCAGCATTAGAACTCAAGTAATTTAATAATATACCTCCTGGCACCTTAACCAAAGTAGCTCCTTCTGAATTTTTTCTCCTAACAAGACCTTCTGAGTTTTAAGAAGGGAGCCAGGATTTGCATTTAATAGTCTTTTTCCCTGTTTTTTTTTTTTCCTCATTGTGAGTCATATTTTTCATGTTACAGGATTAAAAGAAGGGTTTGCTATGCTGTACACTAGCTCTGGAATCCTCTGACTAAAGAGAGGATGATGATGATGATGATGATATGATGATGATGACCACATGGAAAATCTTTTTATCTTAGGATAAAATTGTGTCAGGAAAAACAATGGACTGTAAATTGAAAACAAATCTGGCCATCCAACAGAAGTGTGGTCAGATCAGTAATGATCTGGAAAACAGTGCAGAAATGTTCCGGAAGTACAAAATAAGATACTTAATGAGAAGGTATTGCTGGACAAGATGATCACACCAAGCATGAACTGAATCATGTTCCATGGCTTTCAGTTTATTTTGGAGTCCAGTTCAAGTGCAGATAACGGTATCTGATGCCTCTTTTATATTTCTACCCGAGTCTTGTGGTCATCAACAGAAACCCAACTTAAATGTTGAAGTGGGCCAGGAGTGAGCCTTTTCAGTTCTGACCCAATTGCTGTGCAGTGCACATTCATTCTCCAGACTTTACATTGTGCTGCATGTGATGTTTTAAGTCAGTTTTCTGGCTTTAGCTGCTCTTTTATTCATAGTTTTGTTATGTTTGGTATTATTTACTTTTGCAGCATAACACCCTGACAATAATTCCTATGCAGTGGCGAACACATTTTGGGAGGGGAAAATAATTACAGAATCTACTTCACAGAACATGTTGCGTATCCATAGCAAAGCAAAACGTGTTCTGATCTTCTTGGATATAACTGTGGGTTTAATAATGGATCATGTCTGTTTTCAGACCAGTTCAAAATAAGTGTCATAGAATTCAGCTCTGTCTGACTGAAGGGGAAGAAGCCAAGTTATGAAAGGGGAAACAGAGAAAACTGTGCTCCTTAAGAGTTGATACTAACTTGATGGCATATAATCAATGAAACTGATGAAATGTGTGGGATCTTTCAAGATGCTCCTTTTTCTTGCAACCCCTCTCTGTGCTTGCAGCCTGATAGATGGGCTACACATTTGCTGCTTTTATAGCAATAGCACTTAGACTTATATACCGCTTCACAGTGTTTTACAGCCCTCTCTAAGCAGTTTACAGAGTCAACATATTGCCGCCAACAATCTGGGTCCTCATTTTACTGATCTCGGAAGGATGGAAGGCTGAGTCAACGCTGAGCTCTGTCAGGATCAAACTCCTGGAGTGAGCAGTGAATTAGATTGCAGTGCTGCATTCTAACCATGGTGCCACCATGGCGCAGAATGCTACACCAAATTTCAAAACCAGAATAATAGATCATAGGCACGGAGCACTTCTGTGCCAGCAAAGTAGCTTAACCCTTTACAGTATATAAGCACCTAACCCCGCACTAAATATTAAGAAAAGGGGTGCTGGCATGGGATGCTTGGTGGGATGAATAATGCCAAAGAGAACCATCAGCTGCTTAACTTGTCCCATATTAAATTAACTTGTCCCATATTAAATTAACTTGTCCCATATTAAATTTACAAAGATAGGCACCAGTCAGAAATGGCCTCATTTCTGTGTCAGAATAGAGATTAGCAGCAATAAGGGCAGCACAGTTTACACTGGCATACTTTTCTGCCAGCTCATCGACTGGAGGATAGCAATTTAATATTGTCACCTGGCTGTGCCCTAAAACACTTCTTCCTCCGTGATGCTCTTGTAATTTTGCAATCTGGATCAGCTTGAGCTGGTTGCCATGGTTCTAACTTGACAACAATGAGAGCAGACTCAGGAGTTGGCCCAGTATATCAACTGCAAGCCCATCTTCACCTTGGGATATGCAAAGCCAGACAGATTCTTAAAGGCTTTACAGAGATTTGCTAGGGTTTGCTTCCAGTCTCTTGTATGTACAGTGGGATAAGTTCAATCGTTATGAGATCTGCAATCTCTGCATCTCTCAGGATACATATAGCTGTAGATTAATGTTTTTTTTAAAAAAAAAAAAATCTGGCAAGGATAGGAAAAACGAAGATGTGATTGTATCGGCGTGATTTCTAACCTGCTAATTTAAAAACAGCAAGGTTTTCTTTCTGCAAGATTTGGTGGGACCCAATATTTACCCAGGGAGTTTTGAAAAGCTTTCTGAAGAAAGCTCTCAACCCTAACTTTCATACCCATGGCTCCAATGCCACAAATAGGTGACAGGAATACCTTCTTTCCATTTGCAGTTGTTGGAAAGATGGACTTTAAACTCAAAGCACTTGTTGTGTTGATCGACACGGAACGAAGGAGGGACACAAATTCCATCTATAATAGGCATAACCCGAGAGGCTTTTTGCAGAGTTCTTTGTGAGCCTCAGAGCAGAGAAGTCATTGTTGTTTGGAGTTTCCTTATGAGAACCTGTTCTGTGGTTACGCCTTCATTTTTAATTCCAGCACAACAGCTTATAATTATTAGGAAGCACATTCTGCAAGGAACTGAGTTATCTGTTAAAAAGATTTTTATTTTTTTTTGGGTGACGGTACCAGATGATCAGAAGTTTTTCAGCCACGTTATAATTCTTCAAGAAAGACTTGACAAACTGACTGCATAGTGAAGTAGTATGGGAATAGTATGACAGCACAAGAAATTTGTTCAAGACAATGTTCTACCATTAGTATTGTTCAAATAACTAAGAAGAAAATTGTAGATTTTAAAGAAGAGTTTTCGATCAAGAAAATACTCACTTGGACTGTACCCTGTTTCATTGGTTTTGGATCCTGGTTTCATCAACCAGGGTTTCTTGCTGGAACGAAATTCTTCAGAATTCTTTTCAACTTCCATTGATTTTCTTGCCTTACATTGGAAAAGAAGGTGTCATTGTTGAAACACAGATGCCAAGAAACTTTTGCAGATCAAAAATATGATGGTTTCCAAGATGGGCTGTTCTTCTGGAAGAAAAGGAACAGTTGTTGCTTTGATCAGTGCTGTGGTAGTGATTTCTGGCTGCATCGTTCTCTTAGTGTGGCTCGCAGTCAGAAAACAATTTCTAGAAGGTATGAACGCCAAGCCAAGTCAAGCGATTTTGAGCTGGGAGCCAGTGTTTTCCACGAGCGTGCGATTGCAGGTTTAGAATTTCATATGATTATTCATATTTGGATTATGTTGAAATTGACAGCTGTGCTAGAGCTAGTTTGGCTTATTTTAAACATAACCTGACTTTTACTTTAATTCTTTATGTTCTTTATTACTGTACACCCAGTGTTTTTTTTATTATTGCAAACTGCCAGAGTCAATGGTTGATTCAGCAGGTTACAAAGAGCATTTTAAAAATTACATTTTTATAACATGTCAGCCCTCCAAAAACAATGTGAGGGAACCATTCCAAATCTTTTCCTGACAAAATCTTGGCACATAAGAATCAGTTGTGCTAATAAAGACCAATGAAATACATATGTGTAATACTTTTACATTCTTAATTCTGTTACAAATTATATGGAGATATGGATACAGATAAAATAACTGTACAATATTAACTTTGGCATGGTATATCATTTGTTTTCAAGAATTCAGTTGGGGTGTTGGGGATTTTCTTTCCCACCCCTCCATTTAATCTCTTACATGTTTCATTTATTTTTTTCTAGTGCTGGTACTACAGATTTATGCTTTTATTTTGAAACCCATCATTTTAATTAACTGTTGAATTGTTTTAATTTGCATCTTCTTTAGAGCCTGTGTGTTAAGTTTCTTATTTCACAGAATATTTTGGCTAGCAGATGACTATAAGAAAGAATTCTGTAGGATACGAATGCTCGCCCATTGTGTATTGGAGTGAGATGTTGTTATAATGAAAGATACCATTTAACTTTAGATCTGCAGTAAAATATTCCTACAAGGTGATGGTTTAAAAGTATGTCCCATTGAGAGAAAAAAAAGGCTTCTTTCAGTTTAATGCAGTGGTGAAATGTAAAATTTGTTACTATCGGTTCTGTGAGTGTGGCTTGGTTGAGGGGGGGGTTAACGTGGCTGGGTGGGCGTGGCCAACTCTTTTTTTTTTAACTTTTAAAAGCATTTTTTTCTACATCTTCGGCTGAAGAGATTGTAGAAAAAATATTTTTAAAAGCCTCTGACAATCCCAGCTGAGCCACGCAATCATCAGAGGCTTTTTTTTTAACTTTTAAAAGCATTTTGGCCGAAGAGGTTGTAGAAAAAATGCTTTTAAAAGTAAAAAAACCAGCCTCTGATGATCGTGTGGCTCAGCTGGGCATGGAGGGGGTGTGTGTGCAGAGATTTTTGCTACCGGTTCTCCGAACCACCCACCACCATTGCTACCAGATTGGGCGATCTGGTCCGAACCGGGAGCATTTCACCCCTCGTTTAATGGTATAGCCTCATAGAATCTCTCCTAGAGCTGAATTCATGAAGAAAATGACCTGAAACTATAGAAAGTGCCTGTTGGTAGAATATACAGACAAACTCAGCTACCAACCATGGAGAAAGATACACAATATGAAAGTGATTCCAGATGGAAGGGTCCCTTCAGAAGATACCTGAACAATTTCATCATTTTCTCCTTAAAGTATTTTTATCTGGAAACAAAAATAAGGAGAAAAGAATGACATAATCATCTGTATCCAATAAGCTTTTGCAAATAAAGCAAAGTGATTGCACGCAAACATCTTACTAACCTACAATGCTCCATTTGAGTTCCTGAGTTTCTTTCTCAGTCAATCCAGTTTGCATAGCACTTTGGGATACATAGCACTTTGGCTCTGAATCTTTGCAATCTGAGTACAGAAGAAACTATGGTAAATCCAAGTCTTATGAAGCCAACATTAGAATTCAAACATAGGTCCACTTAAGCCAGGTAATATTCTCATTATTAGCCCAGTTTTATAATTTCTTCATGCATTTGAAATACACAAGACTAAATGTAGGCTTGTTTCCAGAAATATACCTTACACAGGAAGAAAATGTTATTCTTTCCTTCACTGAAGATAATTAAACGTGTTCCTATAACAAAGATAAGAAACTAGAGGTAGTCCTCAACTCACAACTGAGCCCAAAATTTCTATTGCTAAGTGAAACTGTTGTTAAGTGAGTTTTACCCCATTTTACAACCTTGCTCGCCATAGTTATTAAGCGAATCACTGCAGTTGTTAAAGTAGTAACACTACTGTTAAGATGTTAAGTACATCTGGCTTCCCTATTGATTTTGCTTGTCAGAAGTTTATAAAAAGTGATCACGTGACCTCAGGACACTGCAACCGTCATAAATATGAGCCACTTGCTAAGAGTCCAAATTTTGATCACGAGACCATGGGGATGCTACAAATGGTCATAAGTGTGAAAAACAGTCATAAGTCACTGTCTTCAGTGCTGTTGTAGAATGGTCACTAAATGAAAAGTTGTAAGTCAAGGACTACCTATATGTGTTAATAGGTCCCAAATATTGACAATACCCCAGAGGTGTTAATGTTCCTTAAATGTTCCTTATCTTCGTCTAGATATTAGTGTGAATTGAGCATATTTATTTTTTGTACAATGTCCTGATTGAATCTTTCAGACAAGGTGCCAAGGCCCTCCTTTTATTCAGGAGGAGACGTATTAGATTATTTGCTTAATCTGAAGAGAATAGACAGAAAAGATGGATTGCTGGTCACCTGGTATCATGCTGCAAATAGTAAGAATGACATGGAAGAGGCCTTAAAAGGTAAGATTGTTTTTTCTTTCTAATTTGGACACGTGTAGCAAACAATGAAGGGATGCGGTGGCTCAGTGGCTAAGATGCTGAGCTTGTCGATCAGAAGGTCGGCAGTTCGGTGGTTCAAATCCCTAACGCCGCGTAATGGTGTGAGCTGCCATTACTTGTCCCAGCTTCTGCCAACCTAGCAGTTCGAAAGCATATAAAAATGCAAGTAGAAAAATAGAGACCACCTTGGTCGGAAGATATCAGTGTTCCATGCGCCTTTGGCATTTAGTCATGCCGGTCACATAACCATGGAGACATCTTCGGACAGCGCTGGCTTTTCGGCTTAGAACGGAGATGAGCACCGCCCCCTAGAGCCGGAAACGACCAGCACGCATGTGCGGGGGAACCTTTACCTTTACCTTAGCAAACAACATGATGACCAAAAGTAATTCCCACTAAACCCAGTGAGATCTCTTCCTAAATACATACTACAGTATATCAGAGGTAGGTTTCAGCAGGTTCCGACCAGTTCTGGAGAACCAGTAGTAAAAATTCTGACTAGCCCAGCCCCCATCTATTCTCTGCCTCCTGAGTCCCAGCTGATCGGGGGGAAATGGGGATTTTGCAGTAACCTTCCCCTGGAACGGGGTGAGAATGGAGATTTTATAGTATCCTTTCCTGCCATGCCCACCAAGCCATGTCATGCCCACCAAGCCACACCCACAGAACCGGTAGTAAAAAATTTTGAAACCCACCACTGCAGGATATGTATATAAATTTGCAGCCTAGATGTACCAGAGTAAAAGAGAGCATCAGTCTTTCTATTTTGGGACTAAAAACATTCTGAACCCTGAACTTGTTTTCAAAACAAGCATCATCACACAAAAAAGTCTCGCTACAGAAAAATATATCTTGTGACCAGAATAAATCCTGCAAATTTTGCTCATATTTTTTTTCATTTTACATTATAATTGGCCAGGTTTTGTTCATGGCTGTTTTCACTGCATTTAAAGTGACTGCTATGCCAACAGTGCTGCCAGAGCTGAGCAGACAAGATGCCACAATTAGAAACTCCCTGATGCTCCTCAAATTTCTTTCTCTGATGTGCTGTCTGTCTATTTCCCAGTCACTCCACTGCACATTTCTCCCCAAACACAATGATCTTTCCAACCTTCCATTAGTTCTATACACCAGTGGTGAGTAAAACTGGCGGGAGGCTCCACCCACTGACCTGGACGTCATCAGAAGTGATATGCGCTGGGGTGGGTTCTACTTACCTTTACTACCAGTTCGCAACAGGGCCACTCGTGTGTGCTTGCTTCGCTTGCGTGCACAGAAGCGTTCTGATGACATCGGGGTCGGTCGGTGGAGCCTCTCTCCGGTTTTACTACCGATTCTATAGAACCGGTCCGAACCGGGGGCAACCCACCATTGATATGCGCATGGGCAGAAGCTTCTGTGCATGCGCAAAAGAGCGTGCGCGCATGGGCACAATGTGAACCAGTAGTAAAGGTAAGTAGAACCCACCCCTGCTACACACCTAACATTTTCTTAGCAATTCCATCTTTTCCCATAGCTATTCCAGTTTTTGTTTTTGTTCCCTTTATCCTTAACTACTTTTTTCCCAGCTACTCCCAATGTAGCATTTCCTTCTGCCTAGCAACCAACCTGCCATTTGGTGTCTCCTCTCTAATCTGTTCTTGGTTGGGTTCTAACAGAAGTGAGAAGGCACTTATGTACACTTGGAATACATTCCAAGTTGCAGTGTCGCATTTAAGGTGCTAGGAGCTGGAAATCTAGGTTCTAGTCCTCTCTTAGGTAACAGATAGGTAACCTTGGATGAATTTAATTTTTTTTTTAGCCTTAATCAGTGTCGGGTTCTGTGTCAAGTACCAAGCCAACAGATAAACAAACCTTCTTAGTGCATCATTCATTGATAAATTTCATTGCAAGAATTGATGAGGGTGATGCAAAAATAAGTACTGTAGAGGCTCAATCATTGGATTAAATGCTAAGAAAAACAATAGCAGCAACAATTTATTGTAAATCAAAGGGTAGACTGAGCTGGCAGTCTTTCTTGTCCCACTCTTCCTTTAAGCAGGCTGTCCAATTTTGTTTCCCCCCTAAAAGTGAAGTGGTACATGGTCAGTTATTTCTGCATAATAATTTTTTTGCAAAATCGCTCCAGGGATGAGGAGAAAGCTAGCAAGTGATGTCACGTACACTTAAAACATCTCCCAAAATTACAGCACTTTTTATAGGAGAGAAGGGTAGTCGTACAATTAGGATTGTGATGTTGCTAAACTTGTCCCATTGCTCTGCAGTTAGATATTTGTCTTTGTCCTTCCTGATTTACAGAGCTGCTGAATGTAGCTCAAACTATCACTTCTATACTGAATCCTTGCTTTTCAATTTATATTAATGAATCAAAATGAAGAAGCCCACAGAAAGTGTAAAGAGACATTGTCCCGAAGCCTCTATTACTCTTAGCATGAAAGAGCAATAACATATTAGCTGTAATTGCTTCTGATTGTAGTGGAAATAGTTTATAAAAGAACTGGGAGTGCCTCACTCACCATTAAATAACATGCCTGTGTGAACAGGTTAGCAGCACTAAGTAAGCAAGTTGTTGTAACTGGTTCTACTTGCTTCCTGAAAAACAAATGCCATTTCTTTTGTCTATTTGAAAAAAGAATCCAACACTTTGAATTCTTAGACCCTGGGAGCCTTCGGTAACACAAATAAAGTTTATTTAATAGGCAAAATGCTTGCAATATTTTGTAAATTTATTTCAATGAGAAACAAAACATTTAAAAAAAACTTTCTGGTCTAATTTTAGTTTTATAGATAAAAACTGAACATTAAATCACCAAGAAGTGGATTATAAATTATAAATTCTGCTAAACTTTAACACATGAACCACATCATTCTTTGTGATTAGTCAAGGCCTTGAAATCTTGAAGTAATGACGAAAAAAGATGGCTTATACTGGAATGATAATGATAAGAGGTTTTAGTTGTACTTTACAAATATCTAGCATGCCAAACAGTGCATTTTGTATGGAATTGCCTGAAATGATTTACCATCTTGTCATAGTTATATGAGGAGAATGGACAGGAGGGTAGAATCCTATGCCTTGTTTATCAAATTTATGTAGAAGCCTTTTGAAGCACATCAAACATTTATTTGGGTAGGAGGAAAATCACATATTTTATGAAGAATGGACGAATTTATGGGAGACAGGAACAACTGAAATTTCCTATTCGTATAATAGACATGGTACAAAATGTTATTTAGATGATGATTACTTAACAAGATTACAGAGATGCCCAATTAGAGGAATCAAAAATGCAAGCAGAAAATTAACATAATTTTACCTACTTAGGAAATTACTGGAGTTTAAAACTGCACTATGTACTTTTTAGAATGGATTTAGAATGAAAAAAATTCTCAAAGCATGTGTCTGCTATATAATTTTTAAACAGTCATGCCTCCATAATTTGGCTACCCCCCTCCCCCAAATCTTTAGGCAGCAGATGGGAAAGTGTTAGAAATTCTGTTTTATATAAAGCACCACAGAGCACTACGCAGAGACTGTGTCAGGTTTCGATGTCGTCTCAAACCCTCTTCTCCTTCTTATGTCAGCACTAGAGTAAATGCAGGTTGAAGTGCTGACAGACTGCACAAAAAGTACAGTCACCATGTGCTTTACCTATATTACTGTAACAGGAAAACAGGAAACTTTACTTAGAACAAAAGAACATAGAGTATATACCATTGATCCAGACTTGTAAATACTGCCATCTATTGGCTGAGTACTACTGTAATTGTTGCATAGAAATACATGAATTCCAGAGGAGTTGCGTGTCGTGATGATATAATGGGAGATGGAGCGGATAAGAAATTCAAGGATCTTGAAAAAGAATTGCAGGAAGCTGAGTGCGGGGAGAAATTACCACCCTTTTCTCTGAGAGATGAATTTAAGTAGACTACCCGAAAGAAGTGACCCGACCATTGGCACGTCCCCTCTCCCCCACTCTCTTTATAGAGGCGGAAACCAATTGAGGATGTGGGGGACGAATATTGTTTGTTATTCAATGTTTGATGCTTTTTTTGTCCTTTTTTGTTTTTTTTTTATTGTTTTTTTTCTTCTATGTTGAATGTTGTTTGGAATGTGGGAGATTGGTGCTGGGATCTGGGCACAGAAAGGAAGAGGAGGGGAAAGGATTAAAAAAGTTACAGTTTAAATGGGTTTAATAAAAATAATGACATGGAATGTGAAGGGTACAGGGAATCAGATCAAGAGAAGACGATTGGAACTTAAAATTAAAAGAGATTTACCAGATATATTATTTTTGCAAGAAACCCATCAGAAATCTGAAGACTCAAATAAAATGTACATAAAGGGTATGCAAATTTATGAAAAATCTTTTGGAACTTCAAAAGCTAGAGGAGTTGCTATATTGATATCAGATAGGGTATATTTTGAAAAAGAACAAGTAATTGTGGATGAAGAAGGAAGATATTTAATAATTGTGGGAAATATTAACGAGGAAAAAGTGACACTGGTTAATTTATATTTACCAAATGAGAAGCAAAAAGAATTTCTTGAAAAAATAACTAAAATTTTGGAAATCGAAAGTGTAGGGAAAGTAATTGTGGCTGGGGATTTTAATTTAATTAGAGATAAAATAGATAGTACTAACCCCACTCGTTGTGGAGGAGCAAATAAAATGGGGACCTTAAATAAATGGATGTTTCAAAACGGCGTGGTGGATGTCTGGAGAGAAGTGAAAGGAACTGAAAGAGTGTACACTTTTTACTCTAAGATACATAATACATATTCAAGAATTGACTATATCTTAGTTTCTAAAGATTTGTTGAATAATGTGGATAAGATAGATGTGGGAATTTTTAAGGATTCTGATCATGCAGAAGTTATGATGGAAATAGATTTTAATTTTGAGAAAAAAGGAAGTTGTTGGAGATATGATGAAAAACTGTATAAAAATGAAGAGGATAAAAAATGGATATTTAAAAAATGGGAAGAATGTTGGAGATTGAATGATAATGGAGAGGTTAAATTTGAAATTGTTTGGGATGCGATGAAAGCAGTGTTTAGAGGGGAAAGTATCAAGTTATCAAGCAGAAAATATAAAAATTATAAAAATAAAATTGAAAAAGATAAAAGCCAGATTAAAGAATTGGAAAATCAATTTTTGCTTACTAAAGAAAAAATTTTTTTGGGAGGAATTAAATTTGCTAAAAAATAAATTGATAGAAGAAGATATAGAATTGGTAAAAAAGAATATGAGATATTTAAATAGGAATTTTTTTGAATTTAGCAATAAAAACTCTAAGTTATTAGCAAGGATGGCGAAAAATAAAAGAGAGAAGAGAGAAATTGGAGCCTTGATAGATGATAAGGGTATAAGACGCTATAAAAAAATAGAAAAATGTGAAGTGGTCAGGAACTTTTTTCAAAATTTATATTCGAAAAAATTAATTGATCGGGGAAAACTGAGAAGCTATTTAGAAAAACATGTTGTGAAAATTGACCAAACATATAAAGATTTAATGGAAGAAGATATAACACAAGACAAGATTAATGGAGTAATACAAAAAATAAAATTAGGGAAAGCTCCAGGTGAAGATGGATTACCTGCTGAGTTTTATAAAGAATTTAAGGAAATAATAATACCAAAATTGCAAAAACTATTTAATGGAATTTTACATGGTGGAGAAGCTCCGTTGTCATGGAACAGAACGGTGATATCTATAATCCCTAAACCAGATAAAGACTTAGAAAGGATTGAGTCCTATCGGCCCATCTCTTTAATTAATCAAGATGCAAAGATATTTACTGCCATTATAAATAATAGATTAAGTAGATTTATAGATAGATATATAAGTTATAACCAAGTAGGTTTTGTGAAGGGTAGATACATGAGTGATATTGTCAGAAGAGTATTAAATATTATAGATGTTGCTGAATATAATGCTGATAAAATAGGTATAATATCATTAGATATTTTCAAAGCTTTTGACTCTGTACAATGGGAAACTATTAAAACAATTGTTGAGGTACTAGGTTTTGGTAATAAGTTTATACATGTTATTTCAAAACTGTATCAAAAAAGTAGTGCAAGAGTGAAGGTGAATGGAAGGCTGACAGAAGAGATAAGATTGGAAGCGGGTACAAGACAAGGATGTCCCCTGTCTCCAACATTATTTTTATTAGTTATGGAAATTTTGACTAAAATGATAGAAAAAGATGAAGAATTGGAAGGGTATAAGGGATATAAGATAAATCTGTATGCGGATGATACTTTGATTATTTTGAAAGATATAGAGAAAGATTTGAAAAGGATACATAAGCATTTGGAAGAATTTGAGGAAATGACAGGTTTGAAAATAAATTGGTCAAAATCGGAATTATTAATGAATAATAATGGTAAGGAGTGGGAGAATATGCAAGAACAACTTGGGATAAGGATTAAAAAAACATTGAAATATTTGGGCATAACACTTTCACTCAAAGTTAAAGAAATGAAAAAATTAAATTATGATGTGGTGATGAATGAAATTGAGAAAAAGATAGATAAATATAAAATGATAAAGTTGTCTTGGTTTGGTAGAATTGCAATGTGTAAGATGATGTTGTTGCCAAAGTTTAATTTTTTATTTGAGATGTTACCGTTAAACTTGACAGAGAAAGATATTGAAGGATATCAGAAGAAATTGGATAAATTTTGTAATGGTGGGAAAAGACCTAGATTAGTGAAGAAAATGTGGTATCAAAATCAAAAGGAAGGTGGATTAGGAATCCCCAAATTACTCAATTATTATTGGGCTTATGCTATTCGGACTGTGGTAAAAATATTTAAAGGAGAAGATAGTCATTGGAGAGATTTAGAATTAAAGGACATCAAGAGATTTGGCTCAACATGGTTTTTAGATAAAGCAAAATCAAAATGTGTAATTAATAGCTATTGGTTAAAGGGACTGAGTAAAATTTGGAACAAATTTGTTAAAATTTTAATTCCAGATATAATTTTCTTAGGGAAGACAATTGAAAATTGGCCGATTAAAACTAATATAAGTCGTGATAGGGTAATGGAAGATGAAAATATACAAACTATAATAGATTGGTTAAAAACTTCAGAAAATGAAAGGAGGAAAAAAGAAATGATTGAAAAATTGGGTTTAGGCTGGTTTGAAAAAATACAGATAGAAAAATGGACTAAGAAGGTAAGGGACAATTGTTCGATAAGTAGAAGTAAAACTGAATTTGAATATTTAGTATTCCAAATTATGAAAGATGAAATTGGGCTAAAGGGACTCGTTAGTAAGATATATAAGATTATAAATTTTGATGGAAAACCACAAAGGGTGATGAAGATGAATTGGGAAAAAGAACTTAATATTAAAATATCAGATTTAGATTGGAACGTGAATTGGAAGAGTAGAATTATGAAGACTTTATCTGTAAGGATTAAAGAGCATAATTATAAGGTTGTTTGGAAATGGTATTTGACTCCATTAAGATTGTCATTGATGGATAAAAAAATTAGTAAACAATGTTGGAGATGTGATATGGAATTAGGGACTTATGAACATATGTGGTACAAATGTGATAAAGTTAAAAAGTTTTGGCAACAATTGGAGGAAATGATATTTGAAATGATGGGGAAAGCAATAATATTGAGACCAGAAACTATATTACTGTTGCTAATTAAGGAAATAGAACCAACAAAATATGAGAAAGAATTGATTAGAATTATGATTATAATGGGTAGAATTATAATAGCCAGATATTGGAAATTAGATGTGAATTTTAGAATAGAAGAATGGTATTGTGAAATGTGGAAATTAGCTTTAAATGATAAAATGACATGTGATATTAAAATTAGAAATGGTGACTATAAAGAAGACATTTTCTGGAAAATTTGGAAACCATTTGTGGACTATGCGCTGGGAAAATTGGATGCTTCGGTACCTGTACCCCGAGAACGTGGATTTTGGCGATCATGAGGATATATCCGAAGAACCAAATCTTCCTTTCTTATGTATAGCACAGGGTGAAATATTGTACATGTTGTTTGTAATGTTAGTAATTTAAAATATAAAACGTTAAAAAAAAATAAAAGAAATACATGAATTCCAACAAAAAGTTATATAAGACTAGCCAAACATGTCTCCCAGAAGGACTATAATTCCAAATATTTCTAATCATTGGCTATTTTGGTTGAAGATGGTATTTATTATTACTTCACCTAGGAACACTGAAAAATTACATATTGGTTTTAAAAAGTAGGAAGTTATCCAATCTGGGGAATAAGGAGCTGTAATAAATGATAATATTATTGGAAGAGCTCATGATAATTTGTTTAAAAATAGTGACCAGATCTCAGAATGGTGGGTTGTGTAGCAAAAGCAGCCAAGAGGCATGCCTATCTTCACAGCTTATTCATTCTATGCATCCAAAAATCTGCCAGTCACTTTACTTTAGAAAATTGTGCCATCTTATTGCCTCATGTGCTGAATGTTTTAATTTTAAAAATAGCCAAAAATAAAAGTTGAAAGAGAAGCACAGACTTTATACAGTATCTATGGACACGTAAGAAGTCACCTTACATTGAATTGGTCATTGACCTATCTAACTCATTAATGGATAGATGTTCTCAATAGTTTTTCCAGCCCTGTGTGGTGATGCTAATAACTGAACATGGGATTTGATATGCCAAAATCTGCTTGCAATTTCTCAAAAGCCCCTCACAAAAAAAAGTTTACTGTCTTTCTCTCACTCGCTCAATGTTTGAGAATATCCTTTGAATTTCTCTTGGTAATGTATCTGAGCTTGTTTATTGTTGGAAGTGGCTGAGAATTAGCCCACATTTCCAATATGAAAAAGACTATTGCAAAATTGTTGTTATTGTGATATCCCTTGGATTTCAATTGAAGTATGGAAGCCAGGAACACTACAGATTGTTGGAGAGATGATGGTAGAATGTGATGATTTATTGGACAAAATTGTAACTTAAGTAAGTATAAAATTAGCAGACATCATTTATGAGAATTTGAGTTTGTTTTCCTCCCTTGAAAAAATTTTTTCAAAGCAAATACTCTTTCAGGGAATCCTATAAAAGTTCTGAGCTGCATGTTAATAAAAATTATAGATAATTTTCTGCACAGCACTATTTTAATCCTTGTTCCCATTCCTTCCCAGCTCCTCAAATTTGAAATACGTCCTTGATAATTTTTATGCATATAAATTGCTCCACTCCACAGGCCGCCCTTCATTTTTCAATGTTCTCTCTTTCTCCTTCTCTCTGAGAACAGCTGATGTCATGGCGCTAGAATCTGATGTCACCCTTGAAGGATACAATACACCCAATGAGACAGAGAAACCAATTATGGCTCACCCCCCTGTCATCTACAGTGACAATACACTTCAGGAATGGCTGACGACAGTGCTCAGGTTATCTGATAAAGGTATAACACTGCAATTAAAAAAGAGACATCCATTGTAATGAATGGGGAAGAGAAATAAATATTTCTCAAGAATTTCTTGTTCTTGCCAATAGTGATCAAGCTGGATTTCAAAAACATCAAGACAGTGGGCCCATCTCTGGATATCTTACTAAAAACATCTTCTGAGTTGAATATTGACCGACCTGTTTGGCTAAATGCAGATATTTTGAAAGGCCCAAATGTTCCTATTGATATTGCAGTTAATGCAAGCCAGTGAGTAAAATGAACTACTTCTCTTATATTTATATAAAAGTATGTATTACACTACTTATTTCCAAGGACCATAGAAAGCCACTTTAAGCCAAGACAAACTATTGGTTCATTGACTTCAATTCTGTCTACAGTAGCCTTTTTTCACTCTGGTGCCTTTAGAATCTTTAGCTGGAGTTAAGAGGCATAACCCAAATATTTGATAGCATGTTTTATAAAAAAGTTGGCTAATATAGGTTTGAATGGCAGTAATCTATGATGATAAACCATGACTGAATCTATGATTTTTCATCCCTGACCTATGACACCTCCTTTCCTGATGCTATATATTAAAGAAAATATTCTTTTATAAGAGGTGTTAACTTTTATTGTTGTAGCCCTTAGCTAAGATAAGAAGCAGATTACTGTGTTTATATCTGATGAGTAACAAGATAACAAACCTAATCTGTAATGAAGTTTTACTAAGGATCTGAGATAGCAGATTAGCAGATTTGATTGGAAGTTTACATGTGCCGGCATGTACCAGACACTTTGGCTGCCACGGTCAGAAAGTCACGTGAGATTCCCACAAAGCACATGCCACTTCTGTCTTCCCCAAATGAAATTGTGGATTTATCATGCGAGTAAGGTGTCCTTGCATACTGATAAACTTCCTATAGTCCTTTCTAGATTTTGGCTAGGAAAATGTCAATTCAAGTCCACACCTTGCCAATAGAAACTCACTTGGAACCAGACTGAGTCTCTGATATCAAATGTTATTTCTAAATCAAATTGTCCAAGGGACATACATAAAATCATACCTAGTCCAGTATGGAAAAGACTAATAATGGTTTCCTTTTTTTAATGCGTATGGAACTCAGGGGTGGGTTCTACTTACCTTTACTACTGGTTTGCAACAGGGCCACGCGCGCGCGGTCTTCTGTGCATGCACAGAAGCTTCTGTGCATGCAGAGAAGCATTCTGATGACATCGAGGTCGGTGGGCGGAGCCTCCCTCCGGTTTTACTACCGGTTCTATGGAACCGGTCCGAACCGGGGGCAACCCACCACTGATGGAACTGCAACTACATGATTGTTACTGATTGCTTCTTAGATTCCTGACTCTCATTCAGGAGAAGTTTCCAAACTGCACTCTTTCTCCGGGATGGACAACCCTCTATTTATCTCACTTTCCAAACAAAACCTACACGCAGAGTATGGTAGAGGAAATGCATTCCCTTGTGGGAAACCTGCCTCAGCAAATCACCTTCCCTGTAAGAGCTGTCATGGTAAAACCAGGCTGGACTCATCTGAATTGGCTTCTGAGTCAATCCAAAAGGTGAGAGTTTGATAGCATGGCTGTATCTTGATGTATTCAAACCAGCCTCCCTCACTCATGTCTGTGCTTTATGAGTAATGAAAGAATGGTTCCAAGAACTCTTAGCCAAATGACCAGACTGGGTGAGAGTTATGGAATTGGTGATCCCATCACATCTGGTTTGAAAGGGCTCATTCAGAATTGAGTGAGTATCTCTGGATACTTGGAGAAGAATAAAGAATAAATCAGAATTGGCAGAACAAACCATTATTGCTTTCTCATCTGCAAGACTGACTATAGTTTGTTCAACAAATCATGATTAAATCAAAGTCTCTCTGTGTGTGTGTGTATGAGAGAAAGAGAGAGAGAAAGAGGGAGGGAGGGAGAGAGAGAGAAAGAAAGAAAGAAAGAGAGGGCAGCAAGTATGTAAGTTCTGCCTTTGGTATCACAGTCTGAAAATATTTGTCAAGGCCCAAATATCTTCTTTTTCTAGATACAGTCTGACTTTGTGGCAAGGGAAGAATGATCCGGTTACTGTGGAAGATCTCCTGTTTATTCGAAACAACAGCAAACCTGAACAAATCTATTACGACCTTTATGAACCTATTTTGTCTCAATTCAAAAAATTGGCACGTGAGTACAATTGTACTTCTTTGAATAGCAAGCTTCAATGTTTCCAACAAGATAAGAGCATCTGATTAGACAGCATGAACTTATTTGCATTTCAGGTAATTGAACAGTATTACTCATTTTCCCTTTTCCAGGCAGTTGATAAAAAAAGCTTTGCACTAATATATATATTCCAGGAATCGAATAAGAGAAGTGTTTAAAAATATTATTTTTTAACTTTAAGTAATAAGTGATGAAATCAGAATATTTGCAATGACTTCAGTGGGCTAATGATTCAGTCACAAAACTGTACATTAGAGAAATCATACTTTAACAGGTACGGTTAATTTATTTTGATTTATTTTGATGTGGTTGATTTATTTTTCTTTCTTTCTTTCTTTTTTACTATAACTTCAAAGTCTCTCAATCAGAGTCAAGTGCAAAAAGAGGATGGAGAAACTAAGTGAAAAATTTTGGGAAGAAGAATGGAGCCAGTTAATGTTCTGCCAATTTACAATACAGAGAATGTTTGACAATTTAAAATGGACTTTTTGGATTTTGGAAGATACTGGAAGACAATTTTATTACATGGATTCAATTGATATATACTTCACAAATGGTACAAATAAATATGAAGGGGGATTGATCAAGCCTTGTCAAATACAAAAAGGATTGAGGCAGAAAAGCTCGCTTTATTATTCATTCTGGGTCTTGATGTTTCAAATAGAGCCAAAAGACAAGATGACAGAATTATTAGAGTGAAAGTTTTTAAAAAAGAAGTTTATAAATTAAGGGAAGTTTTGATGATTTGACTTTAATTTTGGGGAACCACCTAAAAGGGACAGATGTATTAATGAAAAAATCTTGGAATTTGGTGCATTGACTGGATTTAAAATTGAGGAAAAAAATAAAGTTGTTGACAAAGAACATAAAGATGGAAGAGCAAAAAGAATTAACTATAAAAACTAGATTTCGGATTGGAGAAAAAGGGAAATATTTTGGTATTACTATTACTACATGACTTGTAAGTTATTTCAAAATAAAATATGGAATGAAATTAAATAGGATTTATTAATGTGAGAAAAATGACATATATCACTGTTGGGAAGAACTTCTTTGTTAGCTAGAATGTTATTCTTATTTCAGATAATACCTGTTTTGAGAACTGATGTACCATTTGAACAGTGCAAAAGACATATCCAGGTTTAGAAGGCAGGAGAAACCCCTCCCCCCAAATTAAATATAAGATTCTCCAACATGCAAAGGAATCAGGAGGATTGAATTACCTGATTTTAAATGGTACTTTCCTGTCTGCAGTTTGGTTTGGATGAAGGAATGACTGGTGTTAAGAAATAAAGAGACTTTTAGATTTAGAAGATCATGGTCTGAGGTTTAGATGGCATTGTTACTTATGGTATGATAAAGTAAATGTAGATTTTAAAAATCATTATATTAGGAATATAATACTAGGAATATGAAATAGATACAAACCTGGGCTAAGCCAGAAAATACCTTTGTAGGCCTCAACTCAAGAAGTGTTTTATAGACAAGAAACACCAGGCACAGATAAATGGTTAACATATAAAGACTTCCTAGCACAGGTGAGCTTAAGTTGAAACCAAGAGAACAATTGACTGCAGAGAGGTTTAGTTTTCAATGGTTCTCATATGCAAATTAAGGAAAAGATGTAATATAGATAAAAAAAAACATACCAGGAATAGAATATGATACAATGAAATTTGAAAATTTGAATTACATACAAAGGATGAACATGTGATTGCTAAAATGTATGACTTTTGTTGAGATTTGAAAAAAGGGGAAGAGCAAATTAAAAGAATGTATGTTAAAAATGACCCAAGAATTTTGGTGATAATATTCAGATGGATCAATGGAATAGAATGTGGTTAAAATCAATAGCAATAGCCTTTAGACTTATATACCGCTTTACAGTGCTTTACAGCCCTCTCTAAGCGGTTTACAGTGTCAGCCTATTGCCCCCAACAATCTGGGTCCTCATTTTACCCACCTTGGAAAGATGGAAAGCTGAGTCAACCTTGAGTCTGGTGAGATCTGAACTGTCAAATTTCAGGCAGCCGACAGTCAGCAGAAGTAGCCTGCAGTACTGCACTCTAACCACTGCGCCAGTGAGGCCTGAAAATCACATTGTCTTACAATTTGGATAACACTTTCAAAAAATGGTATACTGTTGGTGTATGACATCAGAGAAATTGCCTAAGATGTATAAAAGTACATCTAATCATAATTGGAAATATGAAAAACATGAAGGGATATTTCATCATATATGATAGACTTGTGAAAAAGCAAAAAAAATGTTTTATATACGTATGATAATGCAGGGAGTTCTAAAAATTAAATTTCAGATAAAAGAACTTTTCTGATTAGGATTTATGGACAGTCAACTAAAAAAATCTCACGAACAATTAGTTTTATATATAACTGCAGTGAGGCTATTATAGGCACAAAGATAGAAAACTATGGAAACATCAGTAGGGGAGGAATGGATTGTGAAGATAGCTGAGTTTGCAAAAATTGCTAAATTGATTTGTTTTGATTAAGTAGGGAATTAGAACCACTTTTATAAAAAAAATTGGAAACCCTTTATGGATTTTTGGCTGAAAATGAATAAAAATCTAGTGGCGATTTGGGGATTTATTGATTAAAAAGTATTAAAAAGATTTGTGTTTCTAACTGCTGCAAAGATCATCGAAGTCGCTATTTTAAATGCCTTTTTCTTTCTTTTGTTTTCCTTCACTTTTTCCATTACCCTTTCTTTTCTTTTCTTTTTTCTACTTTGTCTTTTATGTTTGTGCAATTTTAAAAATCGTTGTAAGATATTCTTTCAATAAAGATATTTTTTTAAAAAGGAAAAAAACACAAGGAATGGGAAGTTGTATAGATGTGCATTTTATTTACCAAAGATTAGAAGACTATACCACTGCTTTAAACCTGGTTGGCAGAATTACACAGAAGACACAATGAAAGGTAATACAGCAGCTTTGCCATCTGGGTAACATAGTGCAAAGTCTATCAATAGATTGCAGTTTATTTTCTGACTATGAGTTTTACATGAGCATCCTGCTAGTTTCCATTTGTAAGTAGGATAACACTACATGTAAAAAGGACATAATGGACCTAAGCAGTCCTGGTGAATGTTTAAACTTCCCATTAAGTGTTCTTATGACCATGAGGAATTTTAGGAGAGTTCATTTTTCACCTCATCAACATCAGAAGGGAAAGCCCATCTGTCTTTTGTTTAGAAAGTCATTCATTTCCCTACTGACTCTTGAAATAGCCAGATCTGTTTGAAATTACACAGGCTGATGTAATCTGATAGTTAAGAGAAGAGCCTCAAAACTCCACTTCAAGACATCACTTAACTATAAGCTTATTATACAGCCATAAGCCAAGGAGTCATAAGACAGTACTCATTTACAAGATGGAGAAAACACCAGCACTATTTCTGAGTCTCCCCTAATGTCACTTATGCAAACACTGTAATGGGTTTTATAAAAAGTACTAACAGTGCATCTTGGAAAAGGGGAGGATAATTTTGTGCATGCTGATTCAGAGGTTCCAAGATTATTGAACCGAACTGTATGAAGGCTGAGTCATCCAGCTGACCAGCAAGGTGAAGATAAAGTTCAGATTCTAAAGCCTCAGAGACCGTTTCCTGTTTTCAAGCTCTTGTAATATCAGAGCAAGTGAGCTAATGGCAAGCAAAGAGATTTGGGAGCATTTCGAAAGGTTGGGCATTCTCAAACACGAACTGGATTTTCAGAGCCCACTCCTATCCAATTTGCCTTTTATTTGAGGTAACTTTAGAGAGTCACAAGAAACCCATCCTGCAAGCAGTTGGGTTGTGTATTTATATATGTAAATATGAGTTGATACAGAAGGCAGCAGTTCACCCAACCTGAGCGGATTCACCCAATTGTATTGGTTGTTGGTAGGTTTCTCAGTACAGGAATTAGTGCTGCTATTAAACTTTACAGTCATATGTGGCATGAGCCTCTTTGAAGGAGATGGGCAATCCAGAAATGTGAAATATAAATAAACAAACAAAAATAAATAATACACTTCCTCTAAAGAGACAAACACCATCTTGTTTGTGCTGCTTTGAAGGGGATATCATAGGTTTTCCATCTTTGAAAGTTTAAGAAAATGGAAGACCAGAAGCAGAATAGCAATAGCAATAGTGCTTGTATATATCACTCCACAGTGCTTTACAGCACTCTGAGCATTTTACAATGTCAGTATATTGCCCCCAATAAAGTGGGCTCCCATTTTAGTGACCTCAGAAGGATTGAAGGCTGAGTCAACCCTGAACCATTCAGGATCGAACTCCTGACCATGGGCAGAGTTTGCCTGCAATGCTGCATTCTAACCACCGTGTCACCTTAAGGATGGTCCTAGCCCTTTGGAATAATTGTATACACAAGATAGCCCCTGATTTGTTAGCATTTCTGAATGTGGTGAAGCGGCTTTTCAAGCTTGAACTATCTGGAGCATAAAGTTATTTTAAGGCTAGTATTTAAACTATGAGTTGGTTTATGTTTTTTAGACAGTAATATAATGTGAGAGACAGAGCTTGTTAAGTGATAGAAATGAATAAATAAAAATTGTAAATAATTACCAGATTTTAGTTAAATGTAATAAAAGCCAGCCAATTATCTGCCCAAATTATCTATAATAATTATTATATTACTTTACAGCTCCAAAGATGTGAAAAAAGCAGAGAAAATAGTGTCTGTCCTTGCACACAGCCCTAACAGTAACAATTTTTCTTGTCTATCACTCAACTCTCAATGGCTCCATGGATGCTCCAGATTAATTAGCCATTTTATTAATTACCCAGTTCATTAATCAAATAACTGCATAAATTAAATGTAAAATAAACTGTTGCAAAATTCCATTGTTTTAGGGCAGACAATTCCCCCCCCTCCTTTCTACACAACCACAAACCCAGCCCCACAGAGTAGGGTTGTAAAACACTATTTCTAAGAGGTGCTTTGAAGCACACAGAAGCATGAATGTAACACCTCTTTGTAACACCTTCATCACATCAAGAGAATTTTTTCATACTTTCCATTAGGGCAACTCCACACTTCCCTGTGGCTGTCTGCAATGATTCTTCTCGCTGTATTTCAAAATGCTTCCATATCTTCTTTCTTTACATTCACTTTGCATTAATTATCTTGGAAGATTAATTTATCTTGCAGTGCTTTTTCATACATGGCTTCTATTTCCATTTTAGTTTCTTTCACATCTTTTTTTCTTTCATACTCACTTTTTCCCACAGAACTACCCGAGTTCCTGGAACTATCCGGTTATAATTTCTCTGACATTCAGAACTTACTGTACTCTTAAGCACTGATTCTTTTACTATTTCATTATAGATAAGGAATCAATTATGCCTTTTGATTAATTCCTTCTTCAGGTGTATATATGAAAAGAATGTACTTAGGCTTAAGCCATGTTTTAGAAATGGAAATTCAAATAGTCACATTCTTCACATTCTTCAATCTTCAAATAACCGAATTGTTTCTTCTCAACAAGTTCCTCTTCATTCCACCTAACAGAATGATGTTGTTCCTGTTAATTCAGAATGTTGCATTTTTTCCAACATTCATCCTTAATTCTTCCATTATGTTCTCTGTGGGGCAAAACATAACTTTCACCAATTTGTGGATTCCTACTTTCATACATGCTCCCAGCCACCTAGATGATACAATTTCATACATACATTTAAGTCCTTTCTTTTAAAATTAAACCTTCATTTCTTTACATGTATTTACTTTGTAAGATTAGGCTAGTATCATTCACATCTATACTTATTTTCCTTTCACTTACTTTCAGACACTAAGCCCTTTTCCCCACTTTCCTTTTCTCATGCCATTATTCCTCTTGTATTTGAAATTGCAGTCTTCGATATGCCATGGTCATTGTGGCTTTGTTTAATCCAGTAAGGCACAAAGTACAAAGCAACCCACTTCTTTTCCTCACCATGCTCATATTATTCTATGCAAGATAGAATCTCTAAC